GAGTGAACCCCACGAATCCAGGGTAGCCCTTCGGCCGGTCCCCTGGCACCGAGTGTGGGAAAGCATTCATTCCCACTGTCAGAGCCATAATGGAGGTAGCGTGTTGCAGGAGCCCTGCGGTGAGGAAGCCCTGTTCCAGCCAGGGAGGTGAGGGACGGGTCACAGTGACACGGTCACACGGGCAGGAATGCTGGATGGGGAGGCGGATGTTCCGGGCCCGAGAGATTTACGGGGTCGGGGTAAAATAGAGGAAGGCAACAGGTCTACTGGAAGGACAGGTAGGATGGGGGAGCCAAAGGAGGGAGGGCGCAAGAAGTGTGCCCAGGGGTCTGGCCAGGTGACTGGGGGCAGAGGCGGCCACCCTAGGAGGTAAAGGGGCAGCATGGAAACGAAGAGGCGTGGGGAGGTGCTTATGGCAAAGGCCCGCAGGTGGGAAAGGGGGTGCTGGCATGTTGGGGGCGGGGAAGTTTCCCACGTTCCTGACCTCGCTGTCCCTCCCTCCCTTCCAGGCGTGTGCGGTGACTGGAAGAACCACTTCACGGTGGCGCAGAGCGAAGCCTTCGACCGTGTCTACCGCGAGCAGATGCGGGGGCTGCCCACCTTCCCCTGGGACGTCCCCGAGGACGCCAGCCCGGACCCCGATCCCAGCCCCAGCCCCCCCGAGGCCTCCAAGCCCCCCAATCCGTGACTCTGAGAATAAATGCTGCACTCCCGCCCGGGCTCTCGCTGCGCTCTGGAGGTGGCTTGCCGCGGCCGGCCGGCAGGGGGCGCGCGAGGGAGGCGGAGGCTGCGGGCGGGGCGTTGGGGGGTGGGGGGGACGCGCCGCGCACCGAGGGACCTCCGGAGAAGACGAGTCTTCTTCCCCACCCGGCACGCCAGTGGGGTCGGTGACTTAGAAGCCCCTGCCGGAGGCGAAGGTGCTGCGCGGAGGCGAGCGCTGAGCATCTGCCTCCCCCCAGGGCCGGGGCGCTGCGGCTAGGCCCTCCTGGGTGGGAGGGAGGAGGGGGCCAGACCTGCATTCCTGGGTCTTCTGCTAGGCTGTGGAAATGCAAGATTCTGGCATCAAGCAGCTTTATTCTGAGCAGAGGTAAATGAGCCCCCAGCAACTCAGCGCTTAGCACCCGCAAAACAGTCCCAGCCCCCCTGGCCCTGACCCCCACCAATTTCCAGGCCCTCATTATTATTCAGCCCCACTCCCTCGATTGGATTCTGTCCTCTCCCTTGCCAAGCTGTTTACCCACACTGTCCCTTGCCAAGCTGTTTACCCACAGCTCCTGAGCATGGTGGGTACCGGAAGCTCCCCCACTTTGTCCCACGGACTCCCCACCTTCACCCCACACAATTCCAGCACCAGGGCCATTCTGCCAGGCCTGTCCGCAGAGAAGTAGGATATGCGATGTTCTAGGATCCCAGCCACTTGAGACTTTCTGCCCATTTCCTAAACTGTGACACTGGCCTCTAGAGTGAGCACTGGGCTTGCCCAGGTTCTAGAACAAAGAGAAAAAAATCCTTTCCGATTTCCAGACAGACACCCAGGCCAGAAGCATTGTCCACGCCTCGACTCAGAGGCAGGGGGCTTGGAGCTGCTGGGAGACAGGTGGGCCCCATGTGGCTTTGGCTCCTGTCACGGTCGCCCCTTGAGTCCTGCCTGGGCGGCCCGATCTGGCTGCTGGAAGCCTCGGGGTTCCAGGAGTTTGGAGGCAGCATCTTCACCAAACCTCCTTCTGGTCGGGGACAGATAGTGGAGGTGGCGTGCAGGGAGGAGGGGCAGGGGGCTGCCCCAGGGCTGGGACCGGCTCAGAGGATGAGGTTCTGTCTCACCCCTGGGGGCCTCTCCCATGCCCCGTTGCCTCATCAGGGCCTTGGCTGGGGTGTCCTTGGAGCCCCAGGACTTCTTGAGCTGTGGAGGGAAAGAGGGAGATGAGAGAAGTCTTGGGGGACTGAGTCCTGGGAGGGTGTGTGTGTGTGTGTGTGTGTGTGTGTGTGTGTGTGTGACTCTCAGGGGAGGTGAGAAGGCCCCTGAGCCTCCAGAATGGGGAAGGGAAGTGATCCGGGAGGCCTGGGGCCCCCAGACCCTCCGAGGGCCAGCTGCTGTGTTCCCCCCTGCAGCTTTGCAGTTGGGGAGGAACAGGAAGCTGTCAGCAACTGCCTGGGGGGAGCAAATATTTGCTAAGGGAGGTGATGGTGGGTGAGGGCGGCTCAGGACCGGGTGGAGGCGAGAGGACCTTGCCCCTGCCCTGCCCAATCCCCCTTCTCCCCTGGAGTGGAACTGAGGGAGGCGATTCCTGGGACATTTCTCCCTCACCCTCGGAAAAGGTCCTCACTAGGTCCCACGTAGCAGATGGGGAAACTGAGCCCGAGAGGGGCACAGCTCACAGAGCACCTGTGCCCCGGGTCTGCCGGCACACAGGGTGAGGCCGCCTGCTTGTCCCACATGGCTCTGCCCTCACCCTGTCAACAGGCCACTTTACAGCTGAGGGCACGGAGGCTCCGCCCAGGGTCCCAGAGAATTAGGGCAGGCTCCGTGGGAACCCCAGCATCTCAGCAGCTGAGAGGAGGGGCACAGAGACCCCTTGGAGCTCACCAAACCCCCTTCGCAACACCCCAATGACGCTCGAATCCGGGAAGCCAGGGGCAGAGCATTTAAAACCTGCATTGGCGAGGCCACCAGGGCCGAGTTCCAATCTCTCCCTCGTGCCTCCGTTTCCTCATCTGTGAAACGGGGGGGGGGGGCGGAGGCTCGTAATAACAGCCACGTCAGAGGGTTGTGGCAAAGATCCAATTCAACCACCTCTGTGAGAGCCCCTGGCATGTGGCACGGTGCCCACAAGAGATGGTGGTTTTGACCTTGGGCAAGTTACTTGACCTCTCTGAGGCTCAGCTTTCCCATCTGTAACCACGAGCGTGAGAAGAGAATTACCTCACCGACCTGGGATGAAGATGTCGTGAAAGAAATACAAATAAATTCCGCCATGGGGATTCATTGTAATACTTAATGTTCTAGTTAGTTTATCCTCCCCTCACTGACTCCTCCTTCCCACCAAACCGAGACGGGGACAACTGCTGTGCGTATTCACTAGATGAGAACACGGAGGGTTCAGAGAAGGCAGATGTCTGCCTGGCTCTCCCCATTAGTGGGTCATGCCAGGATTTGCACCCAGGGTGGCTCTCGGGGTCCCTGCCCCCAGCCACCCAGCGCTCGCCTGCCCGGCTCGCAGTAGGGCTACAGGAAATGGTCGCTGGGATCATGAACTCAGGTGGGCGCTTTGGCTTACCCCGTCTCCACCCCCAGCCCCGGCCTGGGGCCAGGCACATAGTAGGCCCTCAGCTGCCCCATCCCCTTCCTCTTGTTTCTCCGAGGCCAGCCACCAGCGCTCACCTCACTGTCACTGTCGCTGGAGCCAGACAGCTGGGACAGGCGGCTCAGGTCCCATAGGGAGCAGCTGGGCCGGGCCGGGGGGCCGCTGGGGGTCTGGGCGCGCTGGACACTCCTCAGGATGTCGCTCAGCGCCGGCCCTGGGACGGCCGGAGTCTCCTGCCTGTCCCCCTCAAAGACCCGGCAGGCAGCCAAGCGTCGGGCCAGGGGGCCGTCGGGTGGCGGCGGTGACATGGGGGCCACAGAGCGGCGGCAGGCCACACGGTGGGGGTTGTGAGCCAGCTGCAGCCCCCCCACGGTGCTGACGAAGGGGCCCCAGGTGGGCGCGGACGGGAGTGGCCAGGAGGCCGCGTACAGTGTCCGGAACTCTCGGCTGAAGGCATCGGCAATCTCGCCGGTCAGCAGGGTCACCAGACCGCGGTGCAGGCGAGAGTCGCTCCACGTGAAGCTGAGGGGCACGCAGTGAGGGGTCAGGATCTCCATGCTGCCCCGGGGAACCCGGCCTGGACCCCATTACCGGTCCCCATCTGGTCCCAGGGCAGGCTGTGTGACCTCGGGCAGGTCCTGCAACCTCTCTGGCTTCAACATCCCCCTCTGTAGAATGAGAACCACCTAGGTACCTACCCAAGGGCTGATGTGACAACAAGAGTTAAGATACTTAAATTATCATCTGGAAGCCAGCCTGAGCTTATACCCGGACGCTGCCCCGTCCCCAGCAAAGGAGGTGTCAGTGCCTCAGTTTCCCTCTCTGAAAAGAGGTGGGCTTAGTCTTCTGACTCCCACAAGGCCTGTCTTAAGACTCAGCTGCTTCCTATATAATGACTGCCATTTATTAAATACTTGCCGTGTGGCGGGCTCTGGGTGTGCCTGCTCTGTGCCTCAGTTTGCTCATCTGCGATACGGAGCTAAGATGTAGGAAGATTGGAAAGAGAGGACAAAGGGTTGAGCTGCCTGCATGGCGCCCGGCCCGCGCCCAGCTGGCTGCGGAGAGCAGGTCCCCTTCGGTCCTGTCATCACAGTGCTGGTATTTAAAGCACCTAGCTAGGGGCGCCTGGGTGGCTCAGTCGGTTAAGCGGCTGCCTTCGGCTTAGGTCATGGTCCCAGGGTCCTGGGATCGAGCCCCGCATTGGGCTCCCTGCTCGGCGGGGAGCCTGCTTCTCCCTCTCCCTCTGCCTGCCTCTCTGCCTACTTGTGCTCTCTCTGTATCTCTCTGCCAAATAAATAAATAAAATCTTAAAAAAAAAATAAAATAAAGCACCTAGCTTTAAGGTCTTGGCACACAGCAGGTGCTCTTGGGAATTAAATGAACCTGGGCTCTCATCCTGGCTCTAGGGACCTTGGCCACGTCACCTTCCCTTCCTGAGCCTTGGTTTGCCCATCTGAAAAATGGGCCCAGCGCCCGGAGAACTGATGCGTCAGCCACCAGGATGGGGAGTGTTGGTCCAAGCGTCCTTACCTTGGCGGGGTGGCAGCGTCCTCACTCCCTGGCAGGTTGGTGGGCCCATCTGCCCGCAGATTGTGACACCCCTCCCCCCGACCTGTGACCTCACCCCTGGAGCGGCCAGTGGGAGCCCCGAGGGGTCTGTGAGGTCACCCCATTCCGCTCCACAAAGAGTGCACGGAGCTCCCGCGAGGGACGCGGAGCGTTGGGAACCGAGGACCGTCCGAGCGCTGACCCTGGGAGGCCCAGACCAGGGGCAAAAGTCTCACGGGCCTCGGGAGCGTCATTCAGCAGTTCCGGGAGGCCCAGGAAGCCCACGGCCTGGCTTGGGCACCGTCCCCGCCGCCAGGCCACCATGGTCCTCGGCTGGGGGCTGTTGCTTCTGGTAATGGCTCTGCCCCCGGGCACCATGGGTGCCAAGGACTGCGTGTTCTGTGAGCTGACCGACTCCAAGCAGTGCCCGGGCATCCACATGAGCTGTGGCAATGATGAGGATTGCTTCACGGGCCATGGGGTGGCCCCGGGCCTCAGCCCTGTCCTCAACAAAGGCTGCGTGGTGTCCACATCCTGCGGCCACGAGGAGCCGGTCACCTACATGGGCGTCACCTACACGCTCACCTCCATCTGCTGCTACGGCCACATGTGTAACGGGGCCCCCAATCCCGTGGGCGGCCGGACGGAAGGGGTCGTCGCCGGCCTGGCGCTGGGCGTGCTGCAGCTGGTCCCATATCTGCTGTGACCAACCGAAGGGCAGGGCCCGGGACTGGTGTCCCGGCTCCGCTGCGCCCCGAGCCCCCCGCCTCCACCCCCTCCCCCCCATTAAATGGCCAGAGGCCCTGGACAACCTCGTGTGGCCCCAGCTTCCTCCATTCCAGGGCTGCCCCCCGCCCCGGAGCCCAGGGCTTGGCAAAGCATCCTTAGGCCTGACTCAGTGGTGGGGAGCCAAGCTCGGTAGGTTTGGCTGGACCCCTCTACTGTATTTCATGGGTTCTAAGAGGCATATCTTTTCACATGTCTATCAGGATGCTTCTTTTCATCGGTGGCACCTTAGAGTCGATGAAATATGGTTAAAATGAACAATGACGACAATACACGACAGCTAACGTTTACGGAGCGCTGCTTCTGTTACGTGCCAGGGTACCTTGATCTCGCTGAACCCCCAAACAAAGCCGGGAGGGACGGTGACGTGCTCCAAGATGGCCCCAGTCTCTGTGGTAGCGGTTCTCCCAAGTGTTGTCGCCGGACCGGCAGCACCGGCATCAGCCGGGAGCTAGCTAGAAATGCCAATTCTCAGGCCCCATCCCTAGCCGGCTGAGTGGGAGTGGTGGGGGGGGAGGGGGATGGGGGGAGGGGAGGCACCCCAAATCTGTGTTTTTAAGGAGTCCTCCAGGTGATTCGGACGCAGGCAAGCCCAAGATTGAAAACTGCCAGTGGAGAGCACTGGCAATCCACTGGGCACGTCCGCCCCCCACCCCCAGGGGACAGTTGGCAATGTCTGGAGACAACTTTGGTTGTCCTAATAAGGGAAGGGGGGTGGTGCTCCTGACATCTACAGGGTGGAGAGACCAGAGATTCCGTGCAGCCTCCTAAGATGCCCAAAGAAGTACCCCCAGCACAGAACCATCCGGCCCCAAATGTGAGTAGCACCCCTGTCGAGAAACCCTGCTCTAGAGGCACTAACCGTATCATCCCGTTCTGTAGAGGAGGAAGGGAAGCACAGAGAGGTGAATTCAGCTGCCCATAGTCACACAGCCTATAGCCGGCAGAGCTACAATTCGAAGCCAGGCCACCTGACCCGGGAGTCTGTGTGCCTGCCCCGCCCCCTCCCACGTTATGACCCTATGAGGCAGGTGCTGTTAGTAATTCACACTTTCCAGATGGGGAAACTGAGGTACAGAGCAGGGGAGGCACCGGCCCAGTGTGTCACAGAGCTGAGAAGTCGAGGAGCCAGGATCCAGGGTGGGTCAGACCCCAAGGACAAGAGAGGAGGGACTCGAGCCAGTCCGAGGGCCAGGTCCTTTGCATACCAACTCTTATTTTTTATAGATGCTTAGAAAGGTGGAGTTAACTCAAGGCAGGGTTAGGACTCCAATCCAGATCGTCCTGGTTTTGAAACCCACACACAAACTGTGGGCCCTGTTTCCCAGATGAGGAGACACAGGGTCGAAGAGATGACCCCCACCCCAGGCCCCGGGGCAGGCCTGGCTCGACCCCAAACGAGGGGCTCTGCCCCTTGGTACCTCCTCTACCAGTGAGGGTGTTTAGACCCATTTCACAGACCAGGAAAGAGAGGCTGGTAAAAAGGGACGCCGACTGCTCTACTGAGAGTTGGGGACAGGACACCGCGTGGTGTGGGGAGGGGGGCAGCCGCACCTGTAGGATCCAGAGATGACCCTATGACCATCCAGCAGCACAAACTTCTCCCGCACGCTGCCGCTCACCTGCCGTCGCCATCGGCTCTGGAAACTGCAGCCCCGCACAACACGGATATCTAGGTTCTGGAGTACAAGGGGCACACCCTAGCTCAGGCCGACCCCGCACACCTCCACTCACTGCCCAGGCCTTGTGGGGGGATCCCTCCAGGCTGGTTAGGAACCGGATGGCCCAAGGCTCTGTAGAAAAGTCTGTCCCAGCTTCTCCAGAGCTACCAACATTGGGCTTCGGGGGTCTCTGGGAGATAGCCCTAACTCAGAGGGACCCCGTGGGAAGGCCCACCTCTAACTCCCCCAATGCCATGGGCATCGGATCTCAGAGGACCCTCTCAGCTGGCATCCACCTCGAAGAGCTAGGATGCTGTGGAGGGGTCTGCCCCCCACTGACCCCAGCGCCAGGAGAATGAGGACTCGGGTCCCTCCCGCCAGGCTCCTACCTCGGTGGCCCAGGGGTTCACCCGCAGCTGCTGGGCCAGCGTCAGGAAGGCCGGCAGCTGCTGGTGGTCCAGGAGCAGGTAGACAGGCACCCAGCGGTGGGTCGCGGCGTCTACCAGGTCCAAAAGCAGGTCTGGGTCAGTGAAGATGTCCATGACCACGGCCACTAGCTGGGGGGTGGGGAGAGGGGCTGTGGATGGAGCCTGGAGCTCCGGGGACAGTCAGGGGCTGGGGCCCTGGGGGTGGGAGTTTAAAGGCCTGACCTTGACGAGATGTTCAGGGGGGCTGCAGGAGAGGCCCCCAGACATGCACTGCTGTGCATACAGCGCTTACACGTGAATGAGGAAAAAACCGTCCTTCCCGGAGACCAAGGCCTCTACCGCTGGAGAACTCATCATAATCACATCTGCAATGGCGAACAGTGTCCTGTGTGCTGTGACACTGCATGGTGGTCCTGCTCCAGGGCTCAGCGGGCTGGGTCCTTGGAGGTGCCCTGGATACCGGGGCCGGCGGGGGGGGGCGGGATGATCTGCTTGGTCACACAGGGGGAGCTCTGGGGACTGGGTGGGGGGTGCTGAGGGCCTGGATCTTGCAGGCAGAAACATGTAGCAGAGATGACTCCTGACCCACTGGCCAGACAGCCTTGGTTCAAATCCCCACTCGGTCACTTACCGGTGAGAGACTTAACCTCCCGTGCCTCAGTTGCCCCATCTCTCCTTACTCGGTATAATAAGTCCCAACCTCCCAGGACCCTCCTGGCGATTATAAATGTTAACCCGTGTAAGGCACTTAGCATGGGAGCTGGCAGGCACAAAGCCGTCAGATAAAGAACAGGCTCTGCAGGGGGCTGTAGGGGAGACATCTGGGCCCTCCGTGGGAAGGAGGATGGAGACACCTACCCTAGGGGTGGGGTGGGGTGCGGTAGATGACTGAGACCAAGGGGTCATAATTAGGTCCAAGGGGCATGGATGCCCAGGGGGACCCAGGCCTTGGAGGGAGGGTGAGGATGAGGTCTGCGGGCTGCGGACCCCTGGGTCCTGAGGGCTGCGAGGTGTGGACTCAGGAGTCCCAGGAGGGCGTGGATGAGACACCAGGGCCCCAGGGGATGCGCCACTCCCAGGTCTGGGAGCTGGCTTGTGAGGATGTCTGGGTCTGGGGAGTGGACACCAGGCCCCCCCCTGAGACCCCCACCTTGCAGGCAGCCTGGATTTCCTGGCGCACCAGCTCCTTGAGGGGCGGGTGGCCCTCGTCTGGTGGCTGGGTGTACAGCTGCGCCCGGGTGATTCCCTTCCAGGTTGGGACCTCTGGCCAGCCCAGCCGCAGCGCAGGCACCAGCTCGTCTGACCGTCCAGGCCAGTAAGTCAGGCTGCCCGAGTCCCAAATGGTGGCAGGGGCTCCCTCTGCTGCCCCGCTGGGCGGCTGCTTGGATGTGGTCCAGTCTTCAGCCGCCGCCGCCAGGCTCCGGAGCTCTTCCCCGCTCAGAAAGGGCCGCAGGCCCTCGCGCTGCACGCAGGCCTCGAACGCCTCGGCGCCCTTGCTCAGCAGAGCCTCCAGCGCCAGCCGCTGGCCCTCGGAATACAGGAAGCCGGGGCTGGCCTCGGTCAAGGGCAGCCCCGTGGCCCCCAACTCTTCTCCTTCCAGCGCTGCCAGCTGGGAGGCTGCCATTGGGCTGCTCGGGTGGGAGGACCGTGAAGCTGGGTGTCTGAGGATTCGGCCGTCTCTGGGGGACTGACCATGTGGGGGTCTCCTGCCAGGCAGACTCTCTGCAGCCGGCCAAGGCTTCCAGGGCCGCTCCGTGAAGGTCCCTGGCTCCGCGTCCTGATAGTCACACTGTCCAGGGCGTGGGCTGCTCAGACAGACCAGCCACCTGCCTCCAGCCACCACAGTGACAGGCTGGTCATCTGAACTTCCGGCCAGCTGTCGAGGGTGGTCCTGCGTGTGGGTCAGGCTGACCCCCCGACTCCGTCCCTGGCTGTGTCATCCATCAGCTGCTTCTCCGTGCACTTCAATTTCCAGCCTCCTGGCCCCTGGTGGCCCCAACGGACTCTGTTGCTGGTTCGGTCTCGGTCAGGCTGAAGGCCCAGCTGGCCTGGCCAGAGGTCTGGCTGACTGGCCAACCATCTCCCAGGTAACAGCCACAGGCTGTCTGCCTGTCTCCTACCACCCAAATGTCCCTAACTAAAGGTAAAGTGGGCTATTTGCCCCTGACTGATAGCACCTCTAACTGACCCTCTCTGGCTGGCTTGATTATTTGGCAGACATTGACTGCTTCCAGCTAACAAGGTTGGTATCTGGCCGCCCAGTGGAGCACCCCGCCGTGTCCAGGGAAATGTTTTTCCTGCTGACGGGTGGCCGGCTCACCGGCTCTCACTGACTGACCATCCCAGGCACCTCCCCTTGGACCTGCTCTCTCAGTTTGGGAAGAATGGGCTCCAGCCTGAAGTCTGGGCATCACCCTTCCCCAGCCAGGGAATGAGGTCTCGGTCTCTGTCGCTTGGGGACTCTGCCCCTGGGGTGTCACACCCACTTGGGCTTAGCTATAGTGGAGGATACACTCCACAGGGGCTTGCATCACCATGGAACCAGCCCATGACCTCAGCAGCCCACCTAGACGGAGGGCCTGACTAGCCACTGTTCCTTGGACTGGCTGCCCTGGACTGTCTCCCAGCCAGAATTGTCTTGGGCTGCCCTCTGATCTATGCTGATCCCTAGCCGAGCTGACCTGTCCGGGTTTCTGCCTGAATCCCACGATCTCCTGCTAGCTGACCATCCATCCACCTAGTCCTGGCCAAGGAGCACCCTTTGAGGCTCCTGACCCAACCTCTGGCCTATGGACCCCTGATCCCTGCAAACAAGCAGCCCTTCCTTCCAATCACACACCCAGATGGCTTCCTTCCTCCACACCACAGCCACAAGGCCTACAAAGAGGAATAAAACTGGGACTCCCTCTCACCCCGTCCAGCTCCCCCAACTTGTCCAGACCCCCATCCCCTTTCCTTCCTTGCCTTGCCTTCTTGGAGGTCGGAATTAGGGGTCTGGAGACCTTTTATTTCTGCTGTTCTTCCTGCCGTCTGGCCTTTCATCAGGTTTTAGCCTGGGATCCGGGGAACCCAGCCCCTTGTGTAAACAGAGGAGGGCCCACAAGGCAGGTCCCTGTGAAAGGCCTCCAGTGCAGGTATGGGAAGGCCCCAACCCAGGGAACACACTCATCGGGTTACTGGCCCAGGGCCCAATGGCCGGCCAGACTCAGGAGGGAAAAAAGGGGAGCAACTCACCTGTTCCCAAGGATCCCTCCCCCACTGCGGCCCCGCCCCCTCTGCACTTTGCGGTCCACACCCCACCCACCATCCCTAGCCGGGAGCAGCAGGTGTGGCTAACCCGGGGGAGGGAACAGGCACGGACACACCTGTCACCCGGCTTATTAAAGGGGCGGGACTTTGGTCACTGGGAGCACGCCAAGGGTCCAGCAGTGCAAGTTCCACTAGCACGCTAGAGGGCGCCTGCCGGGAGCTGGACTCGGTGAGGGAAGGGCCCCTCCCTGCCTGGTCTCCATGGAGATGGGCACCGGAGTCCTACTCCTGGACACGCCCTAAGGCTCCAATCCCCTCCCGTCCCCCAGAAACACACAAAGGACCATCAGCATTCAAAATCTTTAATTAACAAGGCAGGATCTGGGGTTAGTTTTTGTAGCCTCGGCTGGCCCTGCGGCCTCTGGCACGCTCGAACTTCCGCCCCTTGGATCTCACGTAGGGTCTGTGGGGAGGGAGAGGAGGGTGAGAGCATGCCCACGCGGCAGCCTCAAGGCAGGGTGCAAGCTGAGGACGCCTGAGCAGCGCGCTGCTTGCTCTAACAGAGCAGCACAGGAACATGGCAGGGGGGACACCGACTAGGCTGCTGGAAAAGCCGGGCAGGGCAAGACGCAGGCTCCATCTGGGAGATGCAGACTCTGGCCGGCACAGGCCCTGAACAGTCTGCATTTACATGGCTGGCTGTGCAGAGATCTCAGCAACAGAGAGAAACAGCTTTTAGCCAAGTCTTGAGAAAAAGCGGGGAAGACGAGGTAAGGAGTTCTAGGGAGGGCTGGGGCTGGACTAGCGTGAGGAACAGAAGGGGCCGGAAGCGTGGCAAGGCCCAGATCCACAAGGTGGGGTCCAGGGAAATGCCAGGGCCAGATGGCAGGGCTAGGTGTACTCACTTCGTGTGGCTGTGCGGGGTTCCTGGGGCCTTGCCGAAATGCCTGTACACCTCTCGGCCCTTGCGGGGGCCTGGGAAGAGAGAGGGAAAGCTGGGATCAGGCAGGGACCCAGCTCCAAGAAGTCGCCGTAAGAGTCACTGAACATCACTCACCAGAGAGCAAGACGGTGCCACAGCCCTTGGGGGAGTCTAGGGCCAACTGGTCGAAGGTAAGGATCTTGCCTCCAGCTTTGAGGATGCGGCTCCGGGCACGGCTGCTCACACGCAGCGCGCACACCTGGGGGACACACGGGACAGGCACGGTCAGACTCCCCCCACAGCCACCCAGGGGCTGCTGGCTGTTTGCGGAGCCGCGAACACCACCGCTAGAGAGAGCTTCCCCAGTTGACAATAGCAGTCCTTACCAATTAACATCCAAAACCTCCTTTAAGGCTGCAATCACCTGAACTTATCGCAGAAAGGGAAACGGAGGCATTAAAAAGACCCATGACTTTGTCCACAGGCCATAAACTGGCCAAGAAATCTAGATTTAAAACCAAGCTGTAAAGCTCAAGAACCAGCACCACCATCAGGGAGGGACCCAGAAGGGTCTTGCCCAGCGACACCCACCATGGCTAATGCCACGGACAACCCCCCTTCAATCCTAAAAGCCACCCAGACTGGTAGGTGTGATGCCTGCCTCACCCAGAGAAGAGAGGAGACTGGGAAGGCATCATAAACCTCGTGGCATCTCTGCCAGAGGTCATCAGCAGAGCAAGGACACAAGCCAGATCTGGGCTCTTGCCCACCCACCATGCTCCTGAGCCCCCTCCACACTCACCTTCAGTTTGGGCACCTCCTGGACACGCACGTCGTCGGTTACTGTCCCTACAACCACAGCTGTTTTGTTTTCCCGGCCAGGCAGCTTCATCTTCCGAATCTTTGAGGGAAGGACAAATGCAAACAAAGGAAGCTCCTTCTAGTGTTCACTTATTTTTAAATATTTCACTTATCCATTCATGAATGACAGAGAGAGGGAGAGAAGGAGCCTGGCGCGGGACCCGATCCCAGGACCCCGGGATCACGACCCGAGCTGAAGGAACACACCTAACCAACTGAGCCACCCAGGCGCCTGCTCCTTCTGGTGTTTAAATCCAACCCCACTGTGTCAGGCATCCCAAGGATGGAGACGGTTGGGCCCTGAAGGGGATAAACCCGCCCATGCCTCGCCTCTCAACCAGTCCAGGCCTAATCTCAGGTCCAGCTGGGGAAAAAACCCTGGAGACAAAATGCATAGACCCTTCAACAGATCTCTCCTTCAAGAGAGCTTAGAACATGTTAAGACCTGCCTCACGTGACTTGAAACCACTACGATCGCCACTTCACAATGAAAAAAGCCCAAGCCACTCAAATACCCACCGCTGTTCAGCTACAACCCTAGGATCAAGGGTCGGAGCTCTGTGCCCACCACAGGGTGAAGTAAACCAGCTGATGGCCAGGCCCCAAACCCCCCTCCCAGAGACACAATCCAGTCATTCCCCGAATCAGCCCCTCACCATCCGGGAAAGGGACAGAGGTGGCCGGTTGGTGCGACTCATGAACAATCTCTTCAACACAACTTGGTTAAAGGTAGAGTTGGTTCGTCTGGCCAGAAACCTGTACAGCTGGAGGAGAGAGAAAAGAATGGGAACCCAGGGTAGCCCACACCCCTCCCCCGACAACCTTCAATTGAAGACAAAAAAGCATGGTTTGGGATAAGGTTTTTACGGCTTTCCCCCTTCCCACTGAGCCCCAGAAAGCCCCCCAAATCCCCTCCGCACCTGTATACAGCCCAGAGACTGAAACACTGAACCCCCAGAAGCCTTAGGCAGAACCACAGATGTGCGCCAGCCCCGCAGGCCCCTGGAGCAGCCTGGGGCCCAATACTAGAACGTCGGTTCTAGAAGCTGCAGTTCTGGGCGGCCCTAAGGGTCTCAGACCTCAGCCTCACCTTGACCAACAGTCTCAGGTAGATGTCCTGGCTCTTGGGCTCCTTGCGCCGAACCTTTCGGTCCTTGTTGTGGCGGATGTCGACTCCCTGCAAGGTTAAGGAGACCATGGACCCAAATCTCTTCTGGCAGATCACTCACCCCCAAAACAACTGTATTACCCATCTCCGAGGAAAAGCTAGGGCCCCAGTCTCCGAAAAGACAACCAACCCCAGGTCCACCCTGAGGAGACCTGTGAAAAGCCACTTAAATCTTCTGGGCCTCAAATGACCCCAATTTAAGAAAAATACGAATTCCACATGCAAAGCGTTCAGGACATGGTGCACGGCACCTTGAAAAGCCTCAACGCAGCAGTTGCGCTAAGAAATTTGAACTCTTCAGAAGACGCGTTTTTCAATAATATAGGCCAAGGGCAGACTCCACCTAATAATACAGCAAAGAACCTTTATTTGGGACTCACTCCAGTACTAGAACCTTCCATGCACGACCTCCATGAGGCGGTTTCCCACTTTAGCTGAGAAAACCGAAGGAAGCCACAACTTCCACCACACCCCAGCTGCTGGCCTGAGATCGTCTAATAGGCCGTGTAAGGAACCGTAAAGAACCACTGAGTTATTCGCAGCTCCCTTTTCTCCAACATTTGACGTATGCCATAATCTCTGATGTGTGCGTCCTACAACTTCTTCCTAGACGCACATCTGTGACACAGTATTACCGCGGCCCCAATGCACAGACCAGGGAAGTGGGGTTACAGGCAGGAAAAGCAAGATCACAGGCTGGATGGGGAGCTTGGCCGCAAAACCCAGGCACTGGACGGTGGAGACCCCCCCCACCCCGCCCCAGAACCCAACGTTCCCAGCCAGGGGAGTGACAGGTCCAGGTAGAGGCAGCAAAATACAAGACATCAAGCATGGATGTGGGGCCAACGCCAGGGTCCGAATCCCGGCTCTGCCACTTCCTGGCATTGTGACCCCGGTCACATCACTCAACCTCCTTGCGCCTCAATTTGGTCATCTACTCAATTGGAGCTTTAATAATAAAACGGAACGGGAGGAGCCGGAGGGTGGTAAGACTGACCTATCCCTGGTTTTCGAGCCACCAAAATAGTCCCCCCCACCGCGGGAGTCGCCCCCTTCGAACTCCCCTGACATCCCTGCTCCCCTCAGCCCAAGACCGCGACGGATGGCGGCAGATACTCGAACCCGGAGCGCCTCAAAGCACGCTCACCATGATGGCGCCTCCTGCTAAGCCAGGTCCGGAAAGAGAGAACAGCGTCGGGGTGGGCGGGGAAAGCCTTCAGCGAGTGGCGCCTACGTGACGTCACACGGGCGCCACACGGCGCTCTACTCCAGTCGAGCCTCTCTATGGCGAGTCGCAGAGCGGCGGAATGGGCGATTCCGGAATAAGTGGAAGAACAACCCACCGGGAACAAGCGATACGTCAAGGGCTGGGCGGAGGCGGGCCAGCACGTCGGGGGCCTCTCTGGCCCTACCCAGTCCCTGTTCTCGATAGTCTTCCGGAAGAAAGGCATCTGGGAGCGAGAGAGATGTCGCGCAGCGCTAGGAGGTCGCGTCGCACAGTGACGCTCTGGCCCGACGCCGACGGTCTCTCGGTGGCTCCTGGAGGACCCGGCGGGCTGCGTCTTGGAGGTGAGGAGGCGGAGCTGGCGGGCCTTGTCAGGACCTCGGGAAACCTCTGACCCCACTCTTGAGGCATTTCCTTATCAGGCTCACCTCTCTTGTCTCGTGCGGCGCTTCCTAGGCGCAGCCGCAGCTCGGGAAGTCCTGCCTGAGATCTAACCCGAGATCTTCTTGCTGCAGCATCCTCTATTTCCAATTTCGTCTTCTCCCCCTGCCCCTTCTCTGACCCCTCCTCAGCCTCTACCTCTTGGGGACTGCTTTTCCCTGCCGGAGAGATTCGAGTCGCCCAGCGGGCTCTGCGTGAGGGCTTTGCACGGTGCTGGAGTGCAGAGGAGGCGCACTGAAGCCCCAGGCTTGGGGTGTGGGTTGGAGAGGGAATAGGTAAAAGCCTCCTGAAAGAGAAGGGAGGAGAGACTTAGGAAAGAAAGATTGAGAGGGAAGGAGGATTGGAGGCCCAGAGCGGTAGTGGACAGAGACCGACAGTGAGGGAAATGGAGACCCAGGGGGTGACAAGGAGACCTAGAAAGAGAGGGAGGATGGAGATTTGGGGAGAAGCACAGACATAGAAAGATAGTGAGATGGGGTCTTGTCTGCTGTAACCAATTTCAAATCCTGGCCGTGCTAATTACTAACAACACTGTGACCTTGGGCAAGTCACTTAACCTCTCTGTGCCTTAACTTTCCTTATCCTCAAAAAGGGGATAATAGGCTTGGCACCTAGAGTATTTTCCAGCTTCACATAAGTTAGTATAAATGCTTAAAACAATGCTTTGCATATAAGTGCTCAATACAAATTAGCCTCCACTCCTGTTAGCCCTTCTTGGGTAGGACCAGATGGACTGGCTGGGGCAGTGACAAAGCTGACCTGTCCCCTTTTCTCCTTCCGCAGGGAAGCCCTGCCCCTTTGGCCTCCAACACATCCAGCCCAGCCCGAAATCTGCTCCTGATGCTCCTACTTACTCATGTGTTCTCCACAGAGCCAAAGGCCAGGCCCCAACTGTGAGGCCTGACTCCTTGCCCATACCACCCTCCCATGGCCTGCCGCCCAGGACCAGGGTCTTGCTGATGGGGTAACACAGCAGATGAATGGACACCTGGAAGCAGAGGAACAGCAGGATCAGGTAAGGGTCCTTCTGGAAGTTAAGATCACCACACCATGGGACACAGTTTCCTCCCTCTGTTCCCTTGCCTTGGTGACTTGGTCTCTGTCTTTGAGTCCCAGCCTGTTTGTCGGTCCAGTGTGCCTGCTTTTCTTTCTCCCAAACTAAGGTGTGTGGTTCCCTGTCTCTCCTTCTTCCTGGGTTTCTGTCCCCACCCCACCCTCTCTCTGGGTATTTCTTTTGCTGTTGCTGCTCTGGGTTGAACAGAAGGTACGTTGTTTGACAATAAAAAAACTCTTCCATTTATTGCTTTCTAGCAAATTCTGTCCCTGTCTCCTTCTGCATGTGTCTTTCTACGATTCTGCTTCTTGGTCTCCTGGTATTATTCTGGCCTTGCTTTCTTTCCGCTTCACTATGTCTTTGCCTCTCTGTGTCTCCCTGTCAACATTTTTGCTGTCTCTCGGGCTCACTTCCTCTCAGCTTCTGGTCCTCCAACATTGTCTTCCTCCCTCACCCCTGGCCTAGAAGTCTCTCTCAGATACTGTTTCTCCCCATCTCTCTCCTTGTTTCTCTGTCTTGCCATGTTACTGGGTCATTTGCTGGGCAGATGTCCATGTCATGCTGCCTCCACTCTGGTTTGAGTCCAAGGTAAATACTTGGTGAATTAATGAGCCTCTCCTCCCTGATTTTCATTACAGAAGTATCTGTCTTCATTTCTGTGTCCATCATTTTCTGGGTTTTCTTGTATCTTTAACCTTCCGTATTCTCAATACTATCGTCTTTGTCTCTTTGTATATATCTGTTTATCTGTTTGTAACTATTTTAAAAACAGGCAGCCCTCTAAGTCTCTTACTGCCTCTGACTCTGCTTTTCTGGGTCTCTTTTATTAACTCCATTTGCATAGGTCTGGGTTTTGGTGACCTGTGTTAGGGTCAGTCTCAATCTGCAACTGAAAATCTCCTCCCTCCTGCCTCTTTTAAAAACTCGATGGGGCAGGGCTACCACTTGCCCTCCACAAAGATGGCGTCAGCGGCGCTGTGTGTGTGTGTGTGGGGTCGTCACGCCGCCTCTGCTGCGAGCGTGCCCTCACTTACTATGGCAGCCGATCTCGCGAAGCGCGATGCCCCGCCCACTGCTCAAGCTCTTCCTCGGCTGGCCCCTGCGCCAAACTCGCGAGCTGGCCGGCCCCGCCCCCCGCGCGCCCTCACTGGCGCGGCTCAGGCTGGCCGTGCGCCCATTGGCTGAGCGGATGCACACCCTCCCCCCCACCCCTGGGTCTGATGGGGGCGGTTGGTGCTGACTTGAGGGGCCGCCTGGAGGAGGACTCGGCGTGTGAGGAGGGTGCGGGGGTAGGGTCAGGGTCCCGAGTCTGGGGGACCGCGGGACCAAGAGGAACGGAGACGCAGGCCGGGACTGGGGTACCAGGGGGTGTGGGATGGAGATGGAGAACCAAAACCGGGACTTGAGGGATCCAGAAATGGAAACCCAGGTCTGGGACTGGGTTCTGGAAATGGGTGGGGATGGAGGACCGGGATCGGAGGAACCAGAGACAGAGACTCAGGTTTATGGATTGGGGGGGGGGGCCCTTAGGATGAAGACCCAGGCCCAGGTCTGGGGGAACCAGGGTAGGTGGAGAGAATGGAGACCAGGTCAGAGACTCGAGGATCTAGGGACAGAGGCTCAGGCCCAGGACTGGAGGAGATCTAGAACTCTGTATCTAAGCCTGCTTTGAGCTCAGGGATGGGGGCGCTGGTCAGGTCAAGTTTAGGGGCGGGGCCCGAGGGAGCTTCCCAGGGCAGAGGGCAGAAGTGACTTCTGAGGGTGAGTCCACAGATGGGGGTGCGTCTGGGGCTGCTCTGGGCCGGGGAAGGTGAGGGGCAGGCCTGGCAGCTGGCTGGGTGGGCGGGGCAGTGAGGAACAAAGGTGAGCAGGAAGGAGGCAGAAACTGGGCAGAGGGCAGGGGGAAGGCCTCTGGGGAGGGGACCTCAGGCCCGGCTCCCACCCCCTCCCTGGAGAGCAGGCGGCCAGACGCCCAGGTCAGTGCTCGGGGTCCAGCTCTTGGCCCCTGTCCCTCGCAGGCGCCTGCATGTGGCTCCTGTAGCTCTCTGACTCCTTAATTCCTCCATGTCACATCTCTTTCTTCGTCTCTCCAGCTGTCTACACCCCTCCCTCCTGCCCCTCCTAGCTGCTCTTTCTGTCCTTTGTCTTTCTGACCCTCAGAGGACCTCCTAGGGCCCCTAAACTCTGACTCTCCCTAAGTATCTCTCATCATCCTGGCTTTCATCTCATCGAAGCTGGTTGTCTCCTCTTGGAGTTTCTCCAGCTCTTAGACCGTATCCCTCTCTTTCTTTGTGTTCGAGTGTCTCTCCCGTGTAACTTTCTCCATCCAGAGATGACCATGTGCGCGCGTGTGTATGTGCGTGTGTGTTGTGTTCTCCGTCTGTGCATATCTCCACCATCCAGCTCTCTCTCCTCTCCCTTATACTTCTCCAAAGCCCTTATTATCCAGCATGCTATATATTTGACTTCTTTCGTTTTTCTGTCTTCCTAAGAGAATATGAACTCCACAAAGGCAGGGACTTTTGTCTGTTTTGTTTCCTGCTGTGTTTGCTGGGCCTGGCACTGTGATTGGCACATAGAGGGTACTGAGTAATTATTTGGGGAATAAATGAATGAACGTTTGCATGCCTGGCTGTCCTCCCTCCAGGATGCTGGCCTTCCTGTACAGCGGGCTTCTGCCCTGTGTCCTCAGGGTCCCCTGAGGAACCTTGTCTGAGCCTGTCTGTCTCTGATGCCTCCATCTTGCCTGTCACTGGCCCTTGTTGTCTCCTGTCCACAGGCCCTGCCCCTGCTTCTCTCCACCTGCCACAGGGGTCTTGGACTCTGACTCCTGCCCTCCTCCCTCCCCACAGAGGCCAGACCAGGAGCTGACTTGCAGCTGGGGCCGCAGGCCTAGAAGCGCCCTGGACAGGGCCGAGGCCATGGCCCCCCCACCGCCTCCACCACTGGCCGCCAGCACCCCGCTCCTGCATGGCGAGTTCGGCTCCTACCCGGCCCGGGGATCCCGCTTAGCCCTCACTCTCACACCACAGGCCCTGCACATACAGCGGCTGCGCCCGAAGCCCGAAGCCCGGCCCCGGGGCGGCCTGGTCCCATTGGCCGAGGTGTCAGGCTGCTGCACCCTGCGGAGCCGCAACCCCTCAGACTCGGCGGCCTACTTCTGCATCTACACCTACCCGCAGGGCCGGCGCGGGGGCCGGCGCAGAGCCGCCCGCACCTTTCGCGCCGACGGGGCAGCCGCCTACGAGGAGAACCGCGCTGAGGCCCAGCGCTGGGCCACTGCCCTCATGTGTCTGCTCCGTGGACTGCCACTGCCTGGGGACAGGGGTGAGGCACTACGCAGCCGCTCTGTCCTAGGGCCACCTTGGCGTCTCTGTGGATTTCCCTCCGTGGACACCTCTGTCTCTTCTCTGTGTGTCTGTCTGTGATGTGTCTGTCTTGGTCCGAATTGAAAGAGGGCTAGACACACGGCGATGGGCTACTGAAGGAAGAGCAACCACAGGCAGAGAAGAATGATTTATGTCTGCTCTTCTCATAGATTTTTGTCTCTGTCCCCTCCCCCGCTTCCATGGGCCCTGACCACACAGATGAGTCAGAGGCTCCCCGTCTGGTGAGAGCAGCAGACTGAGACATGATTAGTCACCACCCAGGGTGACAGGCACTCACAGAAGTCCCCTAGGGCGTCCCAGGAGCTCAGAGGTGGCATCTAATCCAGCCTAAGGGGGGGAGGGGAGTCAGAGAAGGCTTTTGGGCAGAGGTCCCCACCCAGGCTCCTCAGTTGGCACAGGAAGGTAAAGGTTCAAGGGTTTGCATCTGGTGAGCCTCCCTTGGTCTCCCAGGATCCTGCTGGCTGGCTGGGGGCCCTAAGGGATGGTGACAGTGAGGGAGCCTTGCACAGTGTCGTAACCTGATCCTGGATTCCAGGTGTTTGAGGATAAAGTGGAACCCACAGGTCTCCCTCCTCCCACACATGGGTCCAAAGGGCACTGGGATTAGACACCCAAGCCCTGCCTTTGTCTTGGCCCCTGGGAGAGGGGGGCGGGGCTGCACACCTGAGCCTGGGCCGCTGAAGGCCTGGAGAAAAACCGTGAATTCCCAGCAGGCCACTGTGCCAGGCCGCCAGCAGCTCCACTGGGGGCTGTTTGCAGTTCCAGCTTCTGAGGTGAGGGGCCCGGGTCTGGGGCCTCTGTAGACTCCTTCCCCTCTCTTTGCAGAAATAACCCCCGAGCTGCTGCCAAGGCCACCCCGATTGCTCCTATTGGTCAATCCCTATGGGGGGCGGGGTCTGGCCTGGCAGTGGTGTAAGAACCACGTGCTGCCCATGATCTCTGAAGCCGGGCTGTCCTTCAACCTCATCCAGACAGGTAAGGGCCATGCCAGGATGGAAGTAGAGGCCCGGGGGTGCCAGGACTCCTGAGTTCTGAGTCCTGGGGAGTGGTGGCAGGGCAGAGTGGAACAGCCTGGCTCATCTCCTGGTTCCCCCACGTTAGAACGGCAGAACCACGCCCGGGAGCTGGTTCAGGGGCTGAGCCTGAGTGAGTGGGACGGCATTGTCACAGTCTCGGGAGACGGGCTGCTCTTCGAGGTAGGGCAGGGGCACCCTACCTGAGCCCTGGGGGACTCTGGAGCCTGGCACTAGGACCAGGACCCAGGTGGCCGGTGTCCTGCCCTGCAGGTGCTGAACGGACTCCTAGACCGCCCTGACTGGGAAGAAGCTGTGAAGACACCCGTGGGCATCCTCCCCTGTGGCTCAGGCAACGCTCTGGCTGGAGCTGTGAACCAGCACGGGGGGTAGGTGGGGTCCCGCCTCCGCCAGCCTGGTTACCGTGAGGGGAGGGATGAGCCCTCCCGCAACCTGGCACTTCTATCCACACATCTCCCCCAGGCAGTCCACCGTCAGTCAAGTCGATCAGTCTGGGCTGGGATGCTCCCCACGCCGCCCCTCCCCCCAGACATGTCTGCCTGTCCGTTCCCAACTGTATCCCTAGTGCCCGGAACTGCGCCTGGCACACAGGTGGCCCTGAGGGAATGCTTATGGATGGGAGAGCAGACAGGGAACCTGGCTCGGTAGGAAGAGTCCATCCGGAGGTGGCCATATGGTCCCCCTGCTGTCTGCTCTCCCACCTTTTTGTGTCTTTCTCCTGCTACCCTGCACTCTGGGTCTCTCACGCCACCCTGTTTACTCTTTCCCTCCGTGTCCGTCTGTCTCTGGCTTTGAAGGTTTGAACCTGCCCTGGGTGTCGACCTGCTGCTCAACTGCTCGCTGCTCCTCTGCCGGGGGGGCAGCCGCCCGCTGGACCTGCTCTCTGTGACGCTGGCCTCGGGCTCCCGCTGTTTCTCCTTCCTGTCTGTGGCCTGGGGCTTCGTGTCAGACGTGGACATCCAGAGCGAGCGCTTCAGGGCCCTGGGCAGCGCCCGCTTCACATTGGGCACGGTGCTGGGCCTTGCCACCCTGCACACATACCGCGGACGCCTCTCCTACCTCCCTGCCGCTGTGGAACCTGCCTCCCCCACCCCTGCCCACGGCCTGCCCCGTGCCAAGTCAGAGCTGACCCTGGCCCCGGCCCCGGCCCCGGCCCCACCTGTGGCACACTCACCCCTGCATCGCTCAGTGTCTGATCTGCCTCTGCCCCTGCCCCAGCCTGCCCTGGCCTCCCCTGGCTCACCTGAGCCCCTGCCCATCCTGTCCCTCAATGGTGGGGGCCCAGAGTTGGTCGGGGACTGGGGTGGGGCTGGGGATGCCCCACTGTCCCCAGACCCCTTGCTGCCCTCACCACCTAGCTCCCCTAAGGCTTTACTGTCACCCATCACCGAGGGGGTCCTAGAAATGCCAGCCTCCTCTGGGCTCCCACCTCCCACCCCTGATGCCCTGGGAGCCATCTCTACCGGGGGCCCACCTGACCACCTGCTCCCACCTCTGGGCACCCCACTGCCCCCAGGGTGGGTGACGCTGGAGGGGGACTTTGTGCTTATGTTGGCCATCTCACCCAGCCACCTGGGGGCTGACCTGGTGGCAGCTCCCCATGCGCGCTTTGACGACGGCCTGCTGCACCTGTGCTGGGTGCGCGGTGGCATCTCGCGGGCTGCGCTGCTGCGCCTTTTTCTGGCCATGGAGCGAGGTAGCCACTTCAGCCTGGGCTGTCCGCAGCTGGGCTACGCTGCGGCCCGTGCCTTTCGCCTCGAGCCTCTCACGCCTCGCGGCGTGCTCACTGTGGACGGAGAGCAGGTGGAGTATGGGCCACTGCAGGCGCAGGTGCATCCAGGCCTCGGCACACTGCTCACTGGGCCTCCGGGGCGCGCGGGTCAGGAACCTTGACCCTAAGGAAGCTTGCTGCCCGCCAGGGGCGGGGCCGGCATTCCGAAGAGGCGGGGCCTGGCCTAGGGGCGGGGCCTAGCTGCTAGAGTTAGGGTGAGGGCCCCACACGCAAGGACCCCTGCCCCGTCTCGGGATTGCGCCCAACCCCCAGGGGACCAGAGGTAATGTGGGATGGAGTGTGGCCCGAACTCCAGGGGGTCGGGGTCATCACGGTCACCGACAACGGGCTGGCCCCGACGGTAGTGCCTAATGAGGGCGGAGCTCGGTCCGGGCCCTCGCTTCCGGCTCGTGGGAGGCCAGGTCCGCTGAGGGCGGAGACTGTCTTACGCGTTGTCCAATGACGGGACCTGGCATGTACGGGCCGGGGAGGCCTTAGTTAATTGGCCAGTCAGGGCCCGGTCTCACCCCCACTCCGGTGCCTCCATTTAACTGGCCAATCAGCCCAGGAGGGGCAGGTTCCCCGGGGCCGACGCTCGGATTTGCACTAATGTTCCTCCCACCCACCGCCGGTGGGGACGAGGAAACTCATTTCTCCCGTCTTCTGTCTCTTGTGCGTCCCCTGACCCCAATCTTCAAAGCAATTGAAAAGGTCTATGCAATAAAGGCAGTCGCTTCAGTCCTCTCAGACGTCGCCCCTTCTGCATCCGGCAGCCCGTGGGAGGGATCCAATTCTAGGCGCTTCCAGTAGCTCCTGCCTTTTATGGACCGAAGCCCAGCCCTGCCCACAGACCGCGGCCAGTGTGACCCGAGGGCCTTGAACTGGGGCCAGGGAGCTGCCTCCTCCCCCACAACAGCTGGCTCTGGGGTTCTCAAGATTTATTCAGGATGTGTTAACGGAGGCGGTGGGAGGATGGGGTCCCCGAAGTGGCAGGGGCACACACAGAGGACCCTCCCCGCCCCCGCGAGGGAGGGGGGAGGCTCGCTTTTTCTTAAAAATATAAATGTATTTATCTGCATCATCACGTCCCTGGGGCACCCAGCTGGCCGGCCGGTGGGCCACAGGGCGGAGAGGGAAGAGGGCCTCAGGGCGCAAGTCTGAGCGAGGCCACCGGGCAGGGGCGGGGGACGGCCTCACAGGGCTCCGTGCTGGGCCTGGTAGCGGGACAGCACGGCGCGGTAGTGGGACAGCTCCTGGCGCACCGCCACCACTTCCTGCCGCAGCAGGGCGTTCTCCTTCTCCAGGAAGGCCGCCCGTACCGATATCTGGTTCTCCTTGAGCCGCCGGGCATCTCGGGACCTCTTGGCTGCCTCGTTATTCTTGTACCGCCGGCTCCAATACTTCTCGTCCTGAGGGTGGGGTTTGAGAAGGCACTATGGGCCAGAAGGGCCAGGAGGAACAGCTTTCCTTGTGCCTTCAAGGACCAGAGGGCAGCTAAGAGACCCTCTGGGGTGCTTCCCGCCCAGCAGTGGGGCCCAAAGGATACCAGGGCTCTCCTAGGATGGGTACCCAAAGGTCTGGTTGCTAAGGAGAGCAGGCCCCTAGCAACAGCCAGGTGTGCGATAGTTCTCCCCACTCCAAGCACTAGGCTTCAGGTCTCCGCTGTGCAAAGCAGACCCCACCACTCCTCGCTTGACAAAGGACCTACAGTTAGCCCCTGGTTGCTAAGGATGCTTGTTCCCTAGCAACAGGGCCTTCAGGGTCTGAGGGCTTCTCCCAGTAAAAAGCACTGCTTTATGCACCACCTTCTCGGATCCTGGTTGCTAAGGAAAACCTAGGCTCCCTAGCGATGGGGTTCTGTGTCCCATAAATCCTCCCAGAGCTGGGGCCTTTTGACCTAGTTGTCAAGGCAACCTCATCCTTCCCCAGCAATCTAGGTGGTCCCAATAACTGCAGCCAGTCTCTGACCCTCTGGCCTTGAATGGAGGCCAGAGAGCTGCCTTCTCCCCTACAGGTCCTGATTGCTAGAAGAGCTGTCCCGTACAAAGGGGCCTATCCTGAGACCTCCCCACACCATTACTTAGGGTCCTCCAGTCCTAGAATTTGGCTGCGGAGGAGGACCACTCGTCAGTAACAAGGACCACCCAGAGCTCCAAAAGATGCTCTCTTCCCACCCCCATTTCATTAAAGCCTAGTTCCTGCTTACTAGGGTAAATCCAGTCGGGCCCTGTGACAGGAGAAACCACTGGTCTAGACTGGGTTTATAGGTCAATCCTCAGTACTCAGGTAGTTATGGTGAAGTCTGGTGAGAGGAGCCCAGGCACCCCTTACTAGGGGAGACCCCAGAACTGGCAAAGGCAGGCTGCTAGAAAAAAAATGGTCACTGCCCCAAATCAGAATGTGGCTCTGGTTGCTAATGGGAACTTGAAACCTCTTACCAATGAGCAGTCCAGGCCCAGAAAACAAGGCCCAGAGGGGCTGGCAAAGTCTGCATCCTAGGCAGATGCAAGCACCCCGAAGGATGCCCCAAATCAGAGATCAAAGGACAAGCCCCAGCCCGGCTAGCGGCTCAGAAGAAACAGACTGATACTGCTGTTAACGGATGCTGTCCTTAGCACCAGGACCTGGTCAAAGCTCCAAGCCTGTACTGGTGGGTCTGGCAGGGCTGGCTGAGTCTGCATCCCACAGTGACACCATCTTCGTAAATCTCAAGCCCAAACCTCGGCTGCCTTTGTGTCCCAGGGCTATGGACAACTGATGCTTGGCCGCAGGTTAAGAGAACCTGAAAGCTAACCGCAGTGAGAAGCCCAGGCCTGTCTGTGAGGAAAGGGCCATCCCCAGCTGTGGGACCTGTAAGGGCCATGCCTGCATCCTACATTGGGCAGTGCTCACCTTCTGCTCCTCTGGCACCTGGATTTTCCGGGCCTTCTTCATGATGGGCTGGGGCTTAAGCTCCTCCTCTGAGAAGCGATGTCTCCGGGGGTCAAAGGTCTCGTGGCCGGGAATGCTTGACAGGGCTAAATCGGCTGGGTCAGGTTCAAATGTCATCAGCACCTCCACGGTGTCTGGGTCCACCGGGCTGGGTGTGTCCCGAGAGGTCAGGCCTTGGGGAAACAGAATGTGCCGCTTGAGTGTGTATTTATTTGGGGGAGGGAGGGTTCCCAGAGGCTACCCCCTGCTCAGGTATCTCTTTGACCACAAGGAAGGCCCTTATGAGGTCTACCACAAAGCCCGCCAGAGACCAATCTCTCTAATATAAAATATGAAGGTTCTCTAAGCTACAAAGTGCTTAGACATCGTGGAACCAATTCCACTTTTATAACAGGGAAACAGGCCTAATTATAACTGCCATACCCTAAGTAACACACGAGCCTCCTCTATTGCTTCTGAAACCTCAGGCCTTCAGATTCAGTGTTAGCTCTTTTCCCATTATCTAGCCTGAATCCTGCTTCCTGAATCCCTGACCAAAGCCTAGACCCCAGGCTGTTCAGGGAAAAGAAATCCAGTGCACTGAAAAGACTTCAGGTGAGCCGCTTAAGAGCTACTGGCCCCGACGAGTAAGGGAAGAAAAGCAGAAATGATTTGAGGTTTTGGAGAGGTTGGTTCAGAAGGGGCAAGGCCGGGCTGTGTCTTTAAGAGCGAGCAAGCCGGGGTCAGCTGAGGATACGGGTTCAGGGCCAGTCACGTGCGGGCGCCTGCTTTCCCGCCCCGCCCCCCCTCCGCCGCCACGGGCGCCCTCTAGTTCCCCAGGCCCCGCCCCCTCCGCGTGACCACGCGTGCGCGAAGTGAGAAGCAGGGAGGAGGGAGGAGAGGACTCACGTGGCGCGGGAATGTGCGGCTGGGAAGGGGAGGGCCCCGGTTCTGCCCGGAGGTCCGGCCAGGGACAGGTATGTCCAGGAATCCCCAACCTGCAGTCCGCCCGTGGAGACCCCCAAGTGCCCGAGGGAGCACACTTTTCCTTTTGCTCCCTGGGGTCTCTCAGCTCGAACCTCTCAATTTCCAAAGATCCAGGCCCTCCTGCTCTCTGGGGAGCACGCTGACAAACGGACCCCTGGACCTTCTCCCTCACCACTGAGATACACAGGATTCTGGGATCCCAGGCCCCTCCTCTCCCAGGAACATAGGAAGCTCTCGGTCCTCACCCTAACGGAAGACCCAGAATGAAGATCCCCGACCTTTTCCCCTCTAGAGGACTCCGGGACTGCCGGCCCTAGCTCCTCTCCACTGCAGGACCCAGCAACTGGGGCTGCCAGTCTCTTATGTCCTGGTGAAACAGAAGTCTGTGCCCAGTCCTTGCTTTCTCCCCTGCAGAGGCCTAGCAGTTACGGTCCTTCCCCACTCCACCGACTCCAGGCCCAGACTCTGGAGCGCAGTTCATTCCCCAGTAAATAATTTCGGTGTTCTGGGATCCGAATCCCGGCTCCTCGAGTATCCGGACCCTCTGTCCCCACGTCCCACAGAAAAGTCCACACTACCGCCCCACGGGGCAGGCTTCCTGGAATGTGGGATCCCAAGGAGACCCAGTCCCTGATGCATTAGTGACAAAGAATCCGGACTCCTCTCCCAACATCTCGCGCCTAGGTGGACCCAGAATCTGGACGCACAACCCCAGCCCCACCGTCCCGGGCCCAAGTGCCGCACAGCCCTGCCCCTGAGGCCCAAGCCCCGCCCCGCCAGGGCCCCGCCCCGCCCCCGCCGTCGCACCTGCGCGGTGGCCGCCCGCGGCCCCGAGGGCAGCCCGGGTGGGGGCGTGCCCCGGGGAGGAACGAGGGGAAGCTGAGCCGCAGGAACCGGGCCCCGGGGAGGGTGCGGGCGTGCGCACGGGCGAGGGCGCCGGTGACGGGCCGCCGGGGGGCGGCGGGCTGGGCGGGAGCCCGTGCTCCAGCAAGAAGGCGTCCAGGTCCACGTACTCCACGTCGCCGAACGGCAGCGTCCGCTCCCACAGCAGCGGCGCCAACAGACCCGGGCCAGGCGCGGCCCCCGGGCGCCCCCGCGGGGACCCGCCGCCCACCGCCGCCCCAGCTGGGGCATCCGCCGGGCCCGCCGTCTCCAGGCCAGGCCCGGGGACCGTGGCTGCCGGCGGAGCCGCCTTGCGCTCCTTTTCCTTCAGGAGACCTGCGGGCCAAGGAAAGACCGGGCGGGGTGGGAAGGAAGAGATGGAGAAGGGACCCCGAGACAGAGATACACGAAGAAAGGGGAGATAGAGACCCACAGGGCGGAGATCCAGAGAAAGAAGGGACAGGCGGGGGAGAGGGAGAGACAGGAGGGAAGGCAAGGACCCAAAGAGAAGAGACGGAGACTCAAGAGAGGGAAAGAGACCCAGAGAGAGAAGGCACAGACGGGGGCGGCAGAGACAGAGAGAGGCGGACAGAGACCGAGAGAGGGACAGAGGCTCAGAAAGAGGGGAGGATAGGGACCCGGGGAGGGATAGGACACAGACCAGGGAAAGGACAGAGGTACAGAAGGGGGACAGAAGTTGAGAGAGAGGTAGGTGAGAGGGAAAAAATGACAGTTCTGTAATTTCTCTGTAGCCTATCTCCCTGCTCATTGTAGCCTCTTCTCCCCACCCCCACACTCTGTTAGGGGCAGGAAAGGGGCTCTATTCCTGGGGCACATTCCTCATCCCTAGACTCCATGTGACCCCAAGAGGCCCCGCCCAAGCCCGTGTCACCACCGTGTGAGCATCCGACACACCCCCTCCCTCCTCCCTGGACCCCAGGGGTCCAGACTCTCAGGACCAAAGGAAG